TTCTGTTTTTTTTACAAACATTCCAATGTAGACGATTCATTTTTTCTCGTCGTTGTATTTAAAATGTTTGTAAAAAGCAGAACAGAAAAGTTCTTTACATTTGCTTTTTGCTATTTATAAACTCTCTGATGTACTTCTTTCGTTCATTTTTGTATCTGACGATATACTTTGAAAGAACGAAATAGCATACTAACTGAATAAATCAGTCAAAATGATACATATTGTTTATCAATACTATCAAATGATATTCATACTATGATTGGAGACAAGTGATTGATAGAGAGACTTTTATCCAATGCTTTGTATAACCTAAGCTAAAATTCGCTGTCCAGAGTCGATATATGGCGGACGAAACTCGAAATAATCTTGTAAAGCTCTTCTTGAAGTGAAACATAATGTTCATATCTACTCATGAACGAACTTTGTTCAGCTATACAGCTCATTTTTTTTGAAATTGCTGCTTCTAAATTTGTTTTATCTCTTTGTGTAAACGAATCGTACTGTTTATCATCGGTGACGAAATCATGAGGCCTGGATAGACTCGAACCTACACTAGATTGAGTTTAGTAAGGTTTGAACAGGCCAATATCTGGTCATGTTTTTGAAAAAAAAAAGGGATCTCAAGCGACATGTCAGTAGGTCACAAAAACGGATTTTTTTGCAATAAAGAGGCTAGAAAACTGCCTGCTTTCGGTGGCAGACACACGACTGTAAGATTATTTTCATAAATAAGACTCTGAAATCATTTATAGAAAAACTATTCTCGGTTTCTAGAGGTTTTGATATTCGCAAAATTCGTTTCTCACATTGCCGTTATTGTTCAAATGATTCTACAACGTAGATAATGAGGGAAAAATAAACTAAATCTAAATGAAGACGGCTTTAATCGATATCCTAAAAAAAAAGTTTGCGTCCATTTCTGCACAAGAACACAAATCTTTCAAATAAAAATTTATTGTTTCTTCATTTTTAAAACAAAAGAGTGCAACGACATAAGAGTCTTATTGACTTTCACCTCATAGTCACTGTAGTTTCATTGTCATACCTGTTTTATTTCTATTCTTCTGCAAACATCTTTCTTTTCGTTGAAACAATAATTTACGGATTGAGTGTTTTGGAAGAGGTAATAAACAGTATCGATACCTATGGAGACAACAAAACAACGTTTAAATGGTTTATGAAAAATTTACTTTTAACGCATTTTTTGCAACTAATGACACTGTTTAAGTGGTTTGGATAATTTCATTATAATGTCTCTTCTAAATGATCAACAAATGTTTCATCTAAACGATGGCATGGCGCAACGGTTAGTAAACAATTAAATTCATGTCAAACTAACATTTTTATTTCTTATTTGAAAACAATCTAGGGAGTGTCTCTTTCATCAGCTTATTTCCTTTTATATTAAGATTAAGTTTACATTTTTACTATTTATTTATTTGTCAGTTTTTATTGTTTCTAATAGCGGATCAGAAGATACAAGTATGTAGGTTTGATCAATCAACATTAACGTCTTGTCAGTCCGTGTTACTATTAGAAAAAAAAAGAAAATGACACGGAAATAAAGAGTAAAATGTAAACTCAAGGAAACAAACTAATGAAAGAGAAATTCCCTAGGCTGTTTTCAAAGAATAAATAAATGCTAGTTTAACATGAATTTAATTATTTACACTCATATTTCATACTTCAAATAAGTAACGATTGGAACAGATCGGTGAATAGATTTTAAATACTATGACTAACACAGGAGTTGGTGAGGAAATATGGCAAACTACGACTTATTTAACCAGTTTCTAATATTTAGAAAACTACAATCGGAACCAATTACTATGGTAGACAAATGTTCTTTTCGATTTTCAGTGGTAAATTTAACTTTATTCAGATCAAATTTCAAAGTATCGAAGTGTAAAGATGTGATCAAACTAGAAACGACATTGATGTACTAGAAAGTCGCATAATTGCAATGTGTTCTAAGTAGATTCCAAAATTGACTAAGCTACATCTATGCACGACAATCATTATCTGTTTTTTTTCTCTAGAGTAAGGATATTTCTTTTAAAACTTGTTCATCTATCGATGGCTTTAGACTTCTATTCCATCTGGTAGAAAAGTCAGCTGCTTCAACACCTCATTTAACATGCATACTTGTAATGAATTTTCTGTATCAAATATTCTAACTGAAGGACAATTAATGATGTTCTGCTATTCTAAACATTAACAAGCGACTCTTCGATTTTATTTTTATCTGTATCGTATATATCATATCCACACAAACTTAGCGAATGTCAAATTATTTTTGTATAGGAACTCGCGATTGTTAACATCGTAATAAGTGTTCCATTTTTTCTCTTAAGTAATCTGCTCAGTTAGATGCCTACTCTGTGAACGAGATAGAACGCAAATGAATTCAAGATGAAGAAAGAACAAGCGAATAATATGAGAGAGTAACAAAACAATAACATTTATTTTTTCTCTTCCTCCGTATACTAAACGACAAAAAGAGAACAAAACGAACAAAAAATTAATTGAAATGTGGATGGATGAAGATCTATATTCCTACTTGGCACAGAAAAAATAGATCAAATATGAAATGGCACTATAATTTTTGAAACTTTTAATGAAATAGCTAAATTCTAACTTATTTTATAATTACAAGCTATACGAAAAAAGATTAACTTCTTCATGTTGGTTTATTGTACCTATCACTTATACATACTTGTAATTTCAAAAGAGAGAAAAAAAATTATTATCATGTAGCTCATGAAGAAAGAAATGGTGTATATAGTGAATATGATATATTCGTATATAGTAATATTAGTGGTAATTTTCTTGTATCATTTAGTTTTTGAACATTAATAATTACCGTCTACTCTTTATTATAATTCATAAAATACAACCAAGATAGAGTTAATCTTCGTTAATGTGCATTAAAATAAACTACACTGAGTAAGATGATGTTTTAATATTTATTGAACAAGTGAATATAATATTAACTATTGATACTCTGATTCTTAAAGATATTCAATATGAGATGTATTGTAACTCTATTTTTGTTCAACAAATCAGTTCATGATAGTGACACTAGCAAATCGAAGATAAATTTCTCTTTGGTTTCCATCAAACATTAATACCGAACAAGTTTTCTCTTGTCGAATACCAGTAACACTGAGATATTGTTGAAAAGATACACTGCACATAATTCGTCAAGAAAATACATGAAAATTCACTACAAGCAGTATTTTTCAGTGACATCATTAAACTGCTACTTTAATTTCGACTTATTAGTAATAAAAAAAAAGTCTTCTTCGTTTAAAATTACTACTCACTAATGATGAATACTGAATTTGGTCTCTTATTGTTCATTAGTAACAGATACAGGTTCTAATCACCAGTTACCTGTTACTAATAAGCATCAAATGATAACACTCACTACTTGCTCGAAAGTAACCAAACGAATTACTCATAATTTAATGTTACGTAATTTAGATGTATTTGAACACGTATAGGTACTACAGAATAGTTAAGTTAATCATTTACCACTCATCTGTAACAGATGAGTACTGCCAACTACCACCGATTAACAATCAGTAAATAAATGTTCGCACTACATACTCAGAACATAATAATAATAATATGATTTTTGTAGTTTTAATTTTTCTCCTAATAATTGAATCAAAACGCAAAAAAAATTGCGAAAACGTGCATAAAATGAGAATTTCACAAATATACCCGCTTACATGATTGAAAACGCTCGAAACGCATTTAAACACATTCTTAACTATTTATTGTCTGCCTGGGTACCTCTCACCAATTTGTATGAACTTCCGCCTGGTGAGAGAATTCTCATTTATTGGGAGCAGTTATAAACAGCACGCACTGTCAAATGGCCTTAGTGTCAAGGGGTATCGGGTGTGGGTGTGAGTGTGAGAGTGTGGGTGTATTTCAACAGAAGACTTACACCCACACCCACGCCTACACTTCACACCCCACACCCACACACCCACATTGTATCAAAAGAAGTAGATATCTTTGAAGATTGTCAAAAGTAGAAGAATTCAGTCGTTCTCAACGTACGCTGCCAACGATGAGAGAGATTATTTACTACTGATAGCGATCCAAAAATTTTTTCTTAGTAAAATATATATTCTGAAACTGTTTTCTATTCTGTTAATTTGAATCTCTTTCTGACAAATCAATTAAATTACGATAGAAAGTATTCTGTAAGATCGTTCACAGCTGAAGCCAAAAGTCGCAAACTTGAAAATTTTCATATTATCAAAAAAAGTGACTTTGTCTGTTCTACTGCGTATGTTTTTTTCCTGAAACGAATTAAAAATTTAATCAATGTCTTTTCCGACAGTCACTAAAATATTTCTTCGATGTTCAAAGACATCAAGTACAAGTAACTTGTAGATTTTTTTTTCGCTTGTATTTGTGTCTGAATACATCTATTTGAGTCATCTCGTCCTTTGCAGAACTTTAATAAAGATGAACTCAAATTAATATTCTACCATACATGCTTGTGACAGTTGATCTAACTCTGAAGCTTGTTATTCATATTCATCTTCATCTTGATTCATATTGATCGACGAATACTTCAATGGTGTTCGACGGAAAAAAAAACTTATTTCTCGTTCAACCAGTATTTCACCAATTTTCGTCGTCATGTTGTAAATTCACTTCTATTTTTCAAAGGCTACGATATATAATAGCCAAACAGGTTTCGGGTTGAAAAAAGCTAGCAAGCATAGGAAATCTTTCTCATATACTCAATCATTTTAGATGTTCGTGTGTGTTTGCATCCTTTACGCATACGCAGTCCTCCCATATGCAACAGCCTTGATAATTTAAAATAATACATTGTTATTTCACTTAATTTCAATATAAATATCAAAGTATTAACATTTTTGTAATATTGATACTTAAATGATGTGCATCAATACAATATAAAAAGAAGATATTCGTGCTTGATTCCTTATTTTTTCTTGTGAAGATTTTTCATGTTTCAACAGATATTGAAAAACAAGAAGGTTAAACTCTCCGACTCTTACTATTCTTTTATTATATTGACTATGATATATTTTAGTTTTCCTGGTCGATTGCACTTCTATTAGGTACGGTTCTCATAGTGCTACCTACACTTGTAATAATCAGAAAAAATTCTAAACATAATCATGATCAAGCGATATCTCAAGTGACAACACGAAATGTCGATGATTATCAGTCCAACAGTGACTACTATCAATCATTAACAGATACTCATGACTTTTCACAAACTGACAATCTTCGTTTGGATCGTCTTTCATCTCCTCGTTTTCATCCAATCAATGGAAAAAGTGTCATCTATTTAAGACAACAGTATCATATGCCTGATTTACGTGGATCAACAACTACTTTGCATTGGCTCGATTTAGAAACAAATAAGAATGTTCAGCTGACACAACCGATTTGGGGAAAATATGATAGTCAAGTAAAAAGATAACGAATTATTCCATATATATTTATTATAATTGTTGTTTATCTTTAGTTCTTTTGGATAGATAATAACACTATTCTATTTTTATCCAATCGAGCTTCATCAGGTCTTATTCAAATATTTCAACTTACACTTCCTGCGAACTTATTAGAAGTAACTAATACTTTCCTTGAACCAATTCAAATAACAAATTATTCATTGAGTATTGGTAATTTGCTAGTAAATAGACAAGCATCACGTCTTGCATTTAGCTGTCAAGTTTATTCAAATTTAACAATTGAAGAAACATTTACTCGACTAACAGAAGAGAAAAATAGTGGTCGTTCAGTTTATCAATTTGACAAGTTATTCATTCGACATTGGGATGAATATATGACAGGTCGACGTCATCATCCATTTGTTGTTTCAATAGAACGGCAATCAAATGGAATATTCAAGTTTTCATCACAACCAATCGATGTACTTTTCAATGTAGATAGTGATTCACCAACAAGACCTTTTGGTGATGCCAGATCACAATGGTCATTTAGTGCAAATGGTAATTCATTTGCATACACTCGACAATATGATGAAACAAGTGCTGTAGCTTGGACAACCAATATCGATATTTACACAATAGATTTGAGTATACCTGGACAATCAAGTGTATGTATTACGTGTGAGAATTTAGCAGCTGATACTGATCCATCTTATTCACCAACAGATAATAATCTATTGATTTATCGAGCACAATCAAAACCGGGATATGAATCTGATCAATTCAAAATAAAACTCTATAATGGTAAGTCATATTCTTATTATTATATGATTGAAAACGTGAACTGTTCGTTCTTTCTCACATTTCTAGGATCAAATTCGAAAATAACACTTCTTGATGATTGGGATCGAAGTATTCAATCTGTAGCATGGTCGCTGGATGGTCAATCTCTTTTTCTTGAACTTTCTGAAGAAGCACGAAATGTTATCTATCATTTATTCAACTTATTCACAGATCAATCACTTACTCGTCTAGTCAGTACAGGTACATCGCGTAATATCAATGTTCATCCTATGAATAATCGAATGTTTGTTTTCGCTCATCAAAATTTTGTTGAGCCAATCAATATTTATTTATATTCATCAGATGGATCCATGCGACCTCTCACTAATCATAACAAAGCTCTACTAGCTAAAGTAAAAATGAGTCCCACGGCTGAAGCATTTTCATTTACAGGTGCTCGAGGTGATAAGGTTTGGGGATGGCATATGCCACCATCAAGTGGAACTGACAAACGAGCTCCACTTGCTTTTCTTATTCATGGTGGTCCACAAAGTAGTTGGAATGATGCATGGGGCTTTGGATGGAATTTTCAAACATATTCTTCTCAAGGTTATGCTATTATTGCTATCAATTTTCATGGTTCTGACTCATATGGACAGAATTTTACAGATAGTATCATAGGTGAATATGGTTCATTACCTTTCGAAGATCTTCAATTAGGTCTTAGTTATGCATTGAACAAGTTTCCTTATATTGATCCAGATCGAGCTGTAGCATTGGGTGCCAGCTACGGTGCATATATGATCTATTGGATTGCTGGACATCCAGAAATGAGTCGTCGTTTCAAAACACTCATTGCTCATAACGGAGTGTTTGATACAAGAGCCAAAGGTTATTCCACAGATGAGCTATGGTTTAGTGAACACGATGTAGGCGGATATACTCCATGGGAAAATCCTGATGTTTATGAACGCTATAATCCACTTAAGCATGTTGTAAATTGGACTCAACCTATACTAATTATTCTTGGTGCTAATGACTATCGTGTACCAATTACACAAGGAATAAGTGCTTTTACTGCTTTGCAGCGTCGCGGTATTGAAAGTCGATTAATATATTTTCCCACTGAAAATCATTGGATACTAAATCCACTTCATTCACTTTCTTGGTACGAACACGTGCAAAGTTGGATGCACAAATGGACAAACTAAATCAATTCTGTAATATTTTTATCAATAATAGAATCAATTCAATATTAGAAACTTTTTTCTTTCAAGATTATGTTTTATCTCTTTTCCAACTATATAGAGACGAGGAAGGTGTGGGCGCGGGTGTGGGTGTGTGGGTGTGGGTGTGTGGTGTGGGTGTAGGTGTGGGCGTGTGGGTGTGAGTGTGGGGTGTGGGTGTATGTGTGAATGTGGATGTGGATCTTCTTCTCACTCACACCCACACTCACACCCACACCCACAGCCACACCCTGATTTTAGCAGCATAAGTAGAGCATGACTAATAGATGTTTTGGTATTAATCTTGAGCAATTTGACTGAACAGGAACTAAGAAATAAACAAGGCCATTTTTGATGGTCAAACAGTACAATAGACACCAGAATGACTCATATGTCAATTAGTTTATTCATGTTACATTAACGACAAAACTAGACTTTTTTTATAGTGATAGAGAAATGAATCAGTTTGATATACAATTTTATTAATTTTTTGCTCAAATTTTTGACCCGACTTTGAGAGTAACTATTAATACTCTTAGAGAACTTTTTATCATTGATCTGTGTATATTCGAATAATCTGTTTTTTCTTCATTAATATTATTCATTAATCTGCTAGTGTTTAAGTGTGCTCGGTACGATTACTATGATTTTTGGAAATAGCAGCAATACTTGTTCAATTAAAACTACACGTGTAGAAGAAATTATTGAACTTCTTAGTTTAATTCTTGTCTGCAGCTTTGGATTACTTGTCACTCATCGTTACTGTGAAACTGGTTTACGAGTAGTATGTATTGTTTTGACCTTAATAAATAGATTTCATTTAACTTAAATCATCTTTGGCAACTTAATCTTATTAACAAATGAGTCGAATACTTTTTATGAACATACAGTAGCTGACAATATTATTCACTCATGTTTATTTTCAATTTCTTCTACTGTTAATGCTAGCAACAATTCGAAAAATGATTTAGGTAGAGAATTTTTTGTTAGAAATCAAATTCTCTACATAAATCACTTTTCAGATTCTTGTTAGTATTAACAATAATGGAAATAAATTGAAAATTAACATGGATGAATAATTCTGAGAATTACTGTATCTAAGTCTTTTGCAAAAAACATGTTCGTTCAAAGTATCATTTTTGTCTTAGTTTCAGTTTTATGAGAAATGAAATTCTTCGATGTGTTATGCTTTGATCAGTCGAATAAAAAAATAGAATAACTTTTCTAATTAATTTGAAGTTATTTTTTCTTGAAGCTATTCGATGTTTTCTGTTAAACGACCGATATTCTTCGTAAATTGAATGAAAGATTTGAGTGATGTAAATCAAATGTCTGACATAGAGGTAAAAGTGAATATTCATGAATCTAACTATTTTATCCCCAAAAGCGTGTCTAAAGTCTTACAAACAAACGAAATAGAACAATGAGTTATATCTTATTCGGAATAGAATACAATGGAGAAACAAATCTTCATAAGTATTTTTCCATTTGTTTTACGATGGATATTTTTGTTCATTAAAAAGTTTTTTTATACACGTAGCAAAATAGTCCAAAGTTAAATTTGAAATTATATCCGATGAAAAACTTTCGATGGCATTTATCTTTTTGTTATTTTTCGAAGGTTGAATATATAGACAAAACTAATAAATTTTAACGTAACAGAATTATGCTAAAAAATATCACATTCGAGATCATTCTGCAAATAGCTAAAATTGCATGTTGGATTAATCCTATTTGAATAAAATCGTTGAATTAAGACTGATATTTTCACTTTCTAATTTTAGTTTGTTTGGCTAATCATAACTGAACTAGTTATGATTAGTATTAGTATTATAATTGTAGTTTTTATAATTCTTCGTGGCATACCTCGAACTGCTCCAAACTCAACTATTTATAGAGAGCGTGACAGCCTCATGATTTGTATACAAATAGGTGCTTTCTTTTGTGCTTTTATATACATTGTTGCTTTTGTTCTTGATGAAAATGTTTTAACTCGTTCATTTCTATCGATATTATATTTTCTTTACTTTGTAGATTATCATTGTAAAATTTGCTTTCAAATTGGTCAAACTTATTGCTGTTAAAAGATCTTTAACCGTACCACAAATCTAATTTTTTTGTTTTACTCGAAATTCTATTCATACTAACTTGTATTCATTTTTTTTTCGTAATTTCCCAATTACGATTTCATTCGTGTTCAGAGATTCAAAAATAAGTAAAAACATCTTTTCTTTATTGATAATTTGCAGAATGCAAGAAATAAGTATACTATCAAATAATGTCATATGACAAACAGATTTGTTTCTGGATTGACAAAAGATATTATATCATCTAATATGAATAATTTGTTAAAGCTAACAATATTGTATGAATTACTTTGATATATTAATCTTTTTCTATTACTATTGCAGTGTGAGTGTAGGTGAAGAGAAGATCCATATCCACATAGATTTTGATAAACTTTTTTTTTGTTTTACTGATCTGAAAAACAAATCAAGTTTTCATCTGCTTTAGTTTACAAGAAATTGTAGCGATAGGTCATATACATAGCTTCTAGCACCACCTGTCGGAAATTAACGTGCGATATTTTTAAAATTATTTTTCTCGCTAGAATTGTAGAACTTTCCGAATATGTCTTCACTTTCAGATTTAGACGTAGTTAACTATCGACAGTAGGTGTTAAGACACTGTTCATTTTTGTGTAGAGCAACATCAAATATTTGCGAATTAATAAACTTCATTAATACAAAAATTTTGCACAAAATTAAAAGAAAAAGATTTTCAAGTTGGATATAGAGCCCACTTTTTGGATTTTATTATTGCTATAACTCAATGAAAACTGAAACGTTTTCTACAAAAATTTGACTCTTTTTGCAACTCATATAGTAGAGTAGTACTCCAAGAAGTCAAGCGAAAATATAGTTTTATTAACAGAATTCATACATTAAGACTGATTAAGATATGAGAATAGAATACAGAAATCGGCTCCGACATAGAGAAGTATTGTGAAAATATTATTTTCATTCACAACGATATAATGGCTGTGCTCTTGACTGCTACATAAAACAACGAAAAAACCAATGAACTTGTTGCGAGATTCTTCTTCCAGTAGAGGAAATATATCATCTATTTCAAACAGGGTGTGGGTATAGTTATTTGTTTAGCTCACACCTACACCTACGCAAACCTAAGGTTTTGCAGACAGTGACGTCCCGGGTCACAGGACTAAAAATGTGAGCTTTCTCTTTGAAATGATCTGTGCCTCGCCTGCAGAGGTTAAGAGAAACTGCACAATATTAAATGTATTTGAATAGAAATAAAAAACTACACAATGAAACAAAGAACTACTTGAAAAGAATCAGTACACTAAGAATAAAAACAGAACTGATTCTAACAGAACCAAAACACATATGTATATATGGCATATGAAAGCCGAGAGAAAAAAGAAAAAGAATGTTATTGCAGATAACGTACTTTCAAAAGCAAGTGTAATAAAAGAAAGGAAGCGAGAACGATGTGATCGTTGACAAGGACATTAACAAATTTTAGTAAAATTTTAAACACTACTTCAATGTTACTCGATAAGTAGAGTTCAATTTGCGTGTCAGTTGCAAACAGCTAACAAAATGCCAACATTGTTTGAACCGTAATTTGCGACAATAATATCAAGTTTGTTGTCTCCATTGACATCGACTGCTGCCACCGAATGCGGGTTAGAGCCAGTTGAATAAGTGACTTGAGCAGCAAATGTGCCATTGCCATTGTTAAGGAGAACACCGACGTTATTTGAACCGTAGTTTGCGACAATAATATCGAGTTTGCTGTCTCCATTGATATCAGCTGCTGCCACCGAATACGGGTTAATGTCAGTTGAATAAGTCACTTGAGCACCAAACGTGCCATTGTTGAGGAGAACACCAACGTTGTCTGGACCGTAGTTTGTGACAATAATATCGAGTTTGCTGTCTCCATTGATATCAGCTGCTGCCACCGAATACGGGTCAGTGCCAGTTGAATA